CTAATTTCTGATTACTCCTGAGATTAAAGACAATCCTCACAAAAGCCTCAGTAAATCACCTTTACCGCAGGAGCTGGTTGCAGACTCCTCCAGGCAGAGGGTGGCAGCAGACTCCCACCAGGAGAAGTGGCTGCCAAGGCCCCAGTTTGCAGGGGTGAGCCAGGAGTAGCAGGGAGCAGCCGGCCAGGCAGAGGCCAACTGCAGTGGGCAGCTTTGATTAGAGCCCTTCTTATTCTTAATCCCTAAATACAGAAAATCGATGTGCTTCGAAATTTAACTCTTCGTTAACAAACTAAGTAAAAGGGATGGTGTGTGGCTAAGCAAATGTTAAGCTACTGCAGCAACCCTGAGAAGGTGAAAAACCTTTACAATACTGGAAAAGGCTTCTTGGTACTCCTGTGTCTGGTTTCAGTCTGTTGCTGTAGAGCTAACAGGAAAGAAAAGCATGCTGAGAGGCCGATTTGTTGTCACTATTGTAGCTACTGTCTGGGACTTGATCCTTCCACTGCTAAGTGGAGTTTTTGTCTTTCATAAGAACTCAATAATTTTGTCATTAATTTCCATCATGCACCTATCTGGGGGATAGTAGAACTATCATTAAAACAGGATGAGCTGTTTTAATGATAGTTCTTATTTTTCTACTTAAAATACAAAAGGTAGGTATTAATGCTGATTGTACACTTTCTCCTTGCATTCAGTCTTAATCAGAGACTTCAGTGAATTGGAGTTGTTATTATAGATGCAGAATTGAAGTGTAAGTCATTGTCAGTGTGAGTACTTTAGACCTTTGTAGGGCTAATCCAAATGTGTGCAGAATCATAGCATAACAGAAACAAAAAACATTCACCCCTCAGGTGAAATCCCAGGGCAAACCCCCCATCACCTTCACACAGTCTGGAATATTACCTGAGATAACAGAACTGAAAAAAATTGTTATGATTCACATAATTAAATACCTGGTATTATATACAACACCTCTCCACTGAGCTGTTCTTCTGCCTTGTTAAACCAGAGCAGATCTTTTACAAGAACGGTCAAGTCTTGATTTAAAGACTACACACGACAGGAAAATCTATCAGATGTCAGAAATGTGCTGAAGACCTGTTGTTCTAATGAAAAAAATGTATCTTATTTCTAACAGAGTTTTATCTTGTTGGATTTCCTGGCACTGGAATATAGTTTACCTTTGTGTGCAGAGTTAAATAAGCTGACTGCATAACACTATCACAGGGCTTTTTTCTAGACCAGTCCCCATTTTTCAGCACCTTGTTTTAGAAGGATCAACAAGAGGGTTCTGATACCACTGTGTACAACAACGACCTTTCAAAATTACCATGCCTGACAGCCCCGAGAGAGAGCTTCCTGACCTGGTCACCATCCAGCTGTGAGAATGTGCTCCACTTGCTCTCCACTAAATCCTTTCCTTATTTACTCTCTTCAAAATTCAATGAACTGTATTAATTTGGGATGAGCTGTTGGTTAACTAACCACATGTTGCTTGAGTAAGGTCCTTTTAATGAGCACTTTAAATTACCATTAAATGATCCCACATTTAAACTGCTTTCATAATTTTTACAGCAACTATGAACTTTCTTTTTTCTAGAGATTGATTAGCACTGGATGAAGAAATGCCTTAGGTAGCACTTGCTTAGTGATGCTCCAGGTTACAAAAAGAGACAACCAGGCTGGGTCAGACCTATGCAACAGCCTTAGGGCTACATTACTACTAATTATTAATAATGTTTATCTATTTGCAAATACTTTTAAAAAACCCTGTGACTTAGCTACTTGCAAGTCTATGTATGGTACCCTTCACAACTTTTGTAAGTAAGTTCTAGTAACTTGTTTTTCTTTCAATGTTATGCAGAATTAAGCTGCATCAACAGTCAAACAAGCCAAAGTAATACTGTCAATATTTTCTCTCAGATTACACCAGTTGCTGTTATTAAAAAAATTACAATAGTTTTCTCATATCTTCATCAGTCTTACTCATTATTTTGAGCACTTCAAAGAGGCAATCTATCATTATTTGGCCTTTGCATTCTTTTTCACACATTCACACCCTTTGCTCCCTGTTTTTTTGCTAATTCCCTCAGATTAGAGGATCATATGTAGCAATGTCATAGTGGCACAAGGATGGGGTCGCTGCTCCACTCTCTGTGACCCGAAAATACTTCACCCTCTACTGATGCTTCTTTCCCCTCACATGCTGGGAAGGCACGAGCTATAGACAAATCATCCTTTTGCCTCCTTTATTTCTTAGAAGTTCTTGGTGATTCCCTCCTGACACGATTAGAAATGATGTGCCTATAAGTAACACATACCATGTCATTGGAGAGTTGCATTTTTTGCCAGGAGGTAGAGGAGGAAATGTGCGTTGGCTCATGAGCCCCAGGCCTGGTTGCAAATCCCGTCATATGACATGGCCTGACACCCTTCCCTTCTCCTGTTCCACAAGCCCATCAGGTTCCTTGCTATAATATACCATTTTTTACATGGCATACAGGCCATGCCTTTGAGGCCATGTGAGTCCCACTCTGGCCTCAAAGGCAGACATCAAAGATGGGGTAATCACCTCAGCCAGTTCTTTTAACAGTTTCGCCTTTAAAGATGAAAAGCGTTTGCTTCTTTAGTCTCATAATTGTGGTTTAATATCTCTAACTCCAGAAATAAAAGACTTAAATTTGTTGATCTTTTTTGAGACAGCACCTGTTGCAGATGTAGCTTATGATGAAAAATTCTGATAGGAAGATCCTGACAGATCCAAATCCCTTAATGTTGAGACTATTCCTTAATGTATTATAACAAATCCAGAATATGTATCTCTAGTCAGACACTCCTCCATGCATCCACTTTACTACTTGAGGTACTAAAATAAAATAGCAGAGTGGAAACTATTCTGAAATGGGAATGACATATATCTGTTATTGCTGATGAGTGGCAGGAAAAAAGTGGTCATTTTCAAACCATAATGAAAATAAGACTTACTGAAACAAATTCTTGTGTAGTATTACTATGTGTAAAAAAATGGGATATGGCAGGAAAACTCATGCTTTAAAAGAATTATTTACTAAATCCAGGCATATATAAGCATGGGAGATAACCCAAGAAGTTGATCTTTTTTCCTGTTTTTTTTTTTTTTCCTGAACTAGGGTAGGATATGTTTACTTTTTTAAAATTCTTTATTTGTCTGTTGTGGTTTAGCCCCAGCCAACAACTAAGTACCACACAGCTACTCATTCACCCTGTCCCCCACAGTAGCATGGAGACAAGAATTGAAAAAAAAAGTAAAACTCACGGATTAAGAACAGTTTAATAACTGAAATATAATATAATCATAATAGAATAATAATAATTGCAATGAAAAGGAAGACAACCAAAAGAGAGAGAGAGAAATAAAACTCAAGAAAGAGAACTAATGCACAATACAGTTGCTGACCGATGCCCAGTCCAGTTCCTAGCAGTGATCAGCTCCTCCTGGCCAGTTCTCCCCAAGTTTATATACTGGAAATGACATTCTAGGTTGGGGAATATCCCTTTGGCTACTTTAGGTCAGCTGTCCTGGCCATGCTTCCTCCCAGATTCTTGTGCAGCTTCCCACTGGCAGAGCATGGGAAACTGGAAAGTCCTTGACTTACGATAAGCACAACTCAGCAACAACTAAAACATCACTGTGTTATCAACGTCATTCTCATACTAAATCCAAAACACAGCACTGCACCAGCTACTAAGAAGAAAATTTTCTCTATCCCAGGTGAAAGCAGTGGATTTTCCTGGCACATGCAGAACTGCCTCTGTGAAAGCTTCAGCATCGCTGAGCAGTGTCCCTGCCTGAAAACTTGCCAGGACTGATTCAAAAATTAGGAATCATCCCCATTTATCTGAAACATATACAACATCAAGCATTGAGTGAAATGCAGATAGCCCTCCTTTTTTATCCTGGTTTGTACTTAAGTTGGGTTCCTCCTTTCTCTCACAGGATCTGACAGCTCATTGCTATGAGCAGTGCCCTCCCAAGGAGGCAGTGGAAAGCTCCAAGCATCACTCCTGCTCCTGGATGCTGATGTAGTTTGATATTTTTTGCTGTTTTTATGATGATGTAGTATGAATGAGACCTGAGACTGGAATGCCATTTTCTGTGGTGCACCCTAGCCACAATTCTCCATTTAGTCTGATACTCATAAACCTTAAAATTATTTTAATTATGTTTGTTTAGTTCAATATCCAGTTATACAAGGCAAAGTGAACAGCCACAGCTCTCCAGCACCCCATTGCCTGTAGCCTCTGTCACTCTCCTGGGGGGACGAATTGCTGGGACAGGAGACCAAGTCCCCCATATATCAGGCTACTGCCTAAACAATCACCCATGTGGCAAATGATGGGTCACATGTGCCCTTCCTCTGACAACTGCATTTTCTCAAGGGATGGGTTTAAAGCCTTACCTTCTGCAGATATTTTGTGCTTAAGCACCATTCTCCTTCTTGGTGTTCCTGTTGAACAGATCAGGTAGTTCTTAATGGCATAGTGTAAACAATTAGCATCTATAAAGGCCAGTGAATCCCATTCTTACACGTGTCCCTCCCCATGCATCCCACAGGAGAGGCTCCACATCTGCCTCTGACCTGCACACCCAGCTCAGCAGCAGGGACCTACAGTCACTGCTGAGACACAAGTGATGTGATGTGGGTTTGTTTTGCCAATATCATGGTAAAGGATGAAGCCTGTTCTCTGAAATCCTGAAAGGATATCACAGTAGTGCCATAACTATCTTTTTCAGTGCACGCTTTCTTGAGATTTTGTTTGGCATTAAACAGCTCTCCAGAACCCAAATATATTTAAAACCAAATATTGACAGACTGCAAAAATGATATGTAAAGGGATACTATAATACATATCTCAGTTTCACCTAGAAAATACAACAAATTAAAAGGAAAAACCCCAAGTCACTTGGTCTTTTAATTAATTTTATTTTTCCCAAGCTCTCCTGTCATAGATTTTTAAAAAATAAATCATACGTATCTTTTATCATGGTGTTATTACATTGAATAAAGTGCATGGAATTATTTAGTACACTGAGTACTAGCAAGTAGCAAGAAACTGCTGAAAACCTAAAAAAGCTCTATTTTATTCCAGTTTCCTTTGGTCAATACTCTTGTGGTCTCTTTGCCTGCAACGACAGCTTTTATTGCTGTTACTGTTGTATTATGACAGAGTTACTTGAAAAAGGATCCCTAACCACAACATTTGATGTCCTAAGTGTTATGGGTTGAATTCATGAGATGCCCAGAGCCTGTAGCTGATTTCACCTTCCAGCAAACCACCTTCCTCCTGCCCCGTGCTGCACTGTTTGCAAGGGTGGGCTACGTGCCGAAGATCCCTCCACCTTCCAGGCTGCCAAGTCAGGTTTTGTGCACCAGCTCCTCTTGGGCTGGCTCCACGGCAGAGAGAGCTGCATGGCAGCCTCTCCACTACCCCTCACACACAGAAGGGCAGCAGCAGCTGTTGCAGTTTGATGAGGGAGGGAGATGAGGAGCAGCCGTAAAAACGGTTTCTTGGTGAGGGAGGAAGCTGCCCCTCCCCAGCTGTAAGTCCTCCCCTCACTCAGCAGAAAAATTGGTGAGCAGTGTATTCAGAGCTGTACATCTGCTAAAAATGGTTGTCTTTTCTTTTGGCATTTACAGTGAAAATTACACGAAGTTGAACATTTTCAGGGTGGATACTAAGATACTGCTTCACTGACGATGAATTTTTGCCTGGAACACCACTCACTGGGTAAAATCACGGTGGAGATCTCAGTCTTCCTAAAGTCTAGTCTCCTTTTCTGGCCAGTAAGTTGACTGAATTAAACAGTCACTATTGACAAAATTATCTTTTCTGCTCTTTGTCCCACAGGTGCCTCTCTCCCCGTTGGCTGAGAGGGTCTCATCTGCTGGAGAAGACCTTTTCCGGAGAACCCAAAGGACAGCAACACTGAAGAAAATGGACACCGTGCCCAACACCAAAGTCAGCCCCAGGTACACATACCTGAGAGAGAAATGATTGATCAGAGCCTATTTCGAAGGCAACATTTGACTAGAAGTCATCAAGAACACATTCATATTCTCATGTGGTAAGGCTGAGTAAGAACACTCTTCCATCAAGGGGAATGACCCTGGAGAGGGGAGTTTGTCAGCTCATCCAGGTCAGGTGGGTGTGGTTTGTGGCCAAGAAAGCATCTCAGGCATTGTCTGACCTCCTCCACCCCAATGTGCTTCAGTAAGAATAGCACTAAAATTTTTAGGGCAATTCCTCTATTTTATGCTTGCCCCATAAAAAGTACCAGTGATATCAAAATCATTTGATGGCATTTTTTCTTTACAGGCATAATGACAGCAACAACAACAGCGGCAACAATAACATCATTACGTTTTATCAGCAAAAAGAATCCCAACTGAGCTTTTGTTCTTTCCTTCCAATTTTCAAAACATTTTTTGCTGGGGGTGGGGGGAAAGCACAATGTGTTCTCCCATTTTCCAATCACCCTTGTTATTCCATTCTTCCTTTCTGGTGACACCTTTCATGAATGCATTTCAGATAATTATTGTCCTCTAGCAATAAATTGATAAAGACAACACTGCACTTAAGGCCCTAGATAAGACAAACATGCTTTGTAGTACCTTTCCCTTCCTTTTTGTGGTTCAGCTCCAACATGGAGAAACAATGAGTTTTAATAACCCTTCTACTTATTTACACATTACCACAGCAGAGTCACTGAAAAATGGGGGAAGCTTTAGCATAAAATTGAGATTTCAATAGAACCTCAGTATTTTTAGGTGAACAATTAAGTGACAAATATTTCCAGCTGATACTGAAACAAGATGATCCCCTCTCCCCCTAAAAAAAGATTAAATCAAAAGAGAATGCCGAAAACCTGAACATTATTGTTAATATTGTTAGTCAGAGTCTTTCATTCAGTTTCAAATCTTTCACTCAAATTTTCTAACGGAAATTCTTCTGCCAGTGCCAGGTCCAGATGCACTTAAAGGGCACAAGTTAAAGAACGAATGGAGAAGAGCTGTTACCTGAGTGCACTGGAGTCATAGAGTCTGCACGCTCCTCTTCCCCCACATCTTTTGCTGCCCCATTTCAGGCAAGTGGTATCTATGGCTACTCCAAAATACACTGGGGCTGGAATTCCCGCTGGGTGTATTTAACAAACAAACAGAGGTAAGAAAGTTACTTTCCAGGGTGATCAATTCTGATCTAGAGACATGTTCGGGTAGAACATTAAATCACACATCAGAACAGCAGTGACACTTCCACGCTGTTTGCTGGTTTGAGGAGACGTGCCTCGTGCTGCCCAGGCACACACCGCCCTTTCCTCCCTGTGGGAAGTCAGGGAAGCGTAACAGAAGATCAAAAAGCCTGTGGAAGCCAGCGGAAGGAGGGCTGGCCATGATTTGGTTTCCTCACCCTGCGGGACACCTCTGGAGGAAAAAAAAAAGGAGATAGTTCTCCTTTCTCAGGAGCAATGGAGCCTTTTCAGCTTGGGTTTAGGGGGTGTCCTGTGTGTGGGTTGAAGGGGGTGAGAAGGGAGAGAGACAGTGAGGCTGGGAGCCTGTAGTGGGGTTACAAGTATCCTACAAGTATCCTGAGATACTGCTGTGGCAGGGACAAACCTGCCACAAAGTGCTTGTGGGTGATGGAAAGGAAAGGGCTTTTTTCATATGCTAATGGGATATCCTGGACTCTGTGCCACCTGGGGAGCCGCTCATGGTTGCTGGAGAAGAAAGTAAGCCAGAAGGGAAAAATCTTGGCCTGCAAGGGTGTGAGAAAGCAGCCAACAGTGTTGATCTGCTCTATTTTAAGTAGGTGACTTGCTATTATTTTTTTTCTGTGAAGACAGAGGATTTTAGAATCTCCAGTTCATTGGCATCTCACGGTACCCTTGATTTCAGTGACAACTTAGAGATGACTCTACCACAAGGCTGCAGCGAAACCTGCCCCCAGGCACACCTGTACTCAGACTAATTCCTTTAGAAACTAATGAAAATTTGCCTGAAAAACAATCACACATTCTCAGCCATAGCAGTTCTATTATGCTTGTTGCTGAGTAAGGAGAGATAAGATGTAATTTTTATATTAGCTTCACAGTCTGAAGGAACACTTGTCATCTCTATGGATATTGGCCATGTGTATTTTAATTATACCTAAGACACGGTTACACGATTTAGGAAGCTATTCCTTTTTTTCAACCCTTTTCCTATTTTTTTTAATTCATATGATACTTATTACTCAGTTAGATATTGTTCTTTCCAACAATCAGAGCTTAATTCTAAGATAAATGATTAATGAGGAGGGTATTAAAATAGACTCAAGAGTTCAAATGGACTTACCAAGTACTCTTATTGCCAGGGTATAGATACCAAGTGCAAATGATTTCAAGTGGGGTTTAATGCATCTAAAAATAATAATAATAAAAAAGATGTTACGTACAAATAAAGAAGCAAGTGTGGATAATTTGAACACAAAAAGAAAGCAAGAGAAAGGAAAGAAATGTGACTTTTTCCTCCTCAATGTCACTGACTAACCAAATTACAGAAATACGTAAAAAATGTGATAAAATCAGAACAGAACCTAGGAATTCTGAACGTCTATATTCAATATCACATTTTAAGATAGTTGTGGATTTTCAGATGATATCAGCACTTAGGACTTACCCACACAGGACAAGAAAATTGATTGTGAAATCATGCATCCATAGCCTTATTCAGCTAGATAATCTCTGAATTTCAGGATCATGATCCAGGCTAGTACAAGGTATTTAGGCACTCACTTTTCATTGCACTGTATCTAGGATCAGGATCACACCTCCTGTAAAGGTAAATCCTCCAAGCTGTTCTCTGACTTTTCTGAGCTTTCAGGGGAGTCTAACACACACATCAGTCCTTCCAGCTCCAGATCAGCCCTGCTCCAGCCTTCAGTTATCACCCTGGCCCACTGAGGAAGACAGGGGTGGTGGGCAGGAGAACAGCTGCCTTTCACAACCATGCTACGAGCGGTGTGTGTATGGACCCACTCAAATTCGTAGGACTCACCTGCTGCTCCCTCACCAGCTGCCAAGTGTGCTGTTTTCCCCAGCAGGTACCAGATTGCCAATTACATCCAGCACAAATCTGAGTACACGCGTGGCTTTTAACGAGTAGTCCCAGTCACATAATTAAACGGGGACATGTTTGATATGTGGGGTAACATATGTGTGTCAATATAGTAACTGATAACATTCCCTGTTGTCACAGTCATTATCTTCATTAGAAAACAGAAAAAAAATTGGGCGGAAATTCAGTTGTCACTATGGATGAACGCAGCACTCTGGAGGTCCAGTCTGTGTGCTCTGAACTAGGATGGGCTCAGCTTCTGCAGAAATTAATGTAATTTGGAATATATTTTTAAAAAAATAATAAAGACATCACAGAACTAGCTCTTTTGTTCCCCACCAGTGATTTTTTAAAATTTCCCAGAACAGCATTAAGAACCCATACTGCAAACGATATTTGGATCATCTTCCTCTAATTTACTGAAAATAGAAAGGACATGAAGGACATTTAAGGAAGAAGGTAGCCTGGAGAAGAGATGATTGAGAGGAGATCTGATGCACACAAGCATCTGAAGGGCAGGTTTCAAGAGGATGTGGTCAGAATCTTTTCAGTGGTGCCCAGTGACAGGACAAAGGACAATGGGCAAACTGAAACACAGGGAGTTCCATCTGAGTGTGAGGAAAAACTACTGTGAGGGTGACAGAGCACTGGAACAGGCTGCCCAGACAGACTGTGGAGTCTCCTCTGGGCAGATTCAAAACCTGCCTAGACACCAGCCCATGCAACCTGCTCTATGTGACTCTGCCTTGGCAGGAGGGTTGGACTAGGTGATCTCCAGAAGTCCTTACCAGCTCCAGTCATTCTGTGACTCTGTGAAAAGAACACCGAAGTATCATAGTAAAAAAAAATAAAAAAAATAATGGTGTGCAGCTCATTTTATGATGTCAACACTTTATTCTCTAATGCCCTGGTCGTGAATTATCATCACACAGTCTGTTGCACTGCGGCTTATACAAGCACTGCCATCTATGTAGGCATGACTGTAATATGATTTTAAGCTGCAAGAACAGTGACTTGCTCTCCTATCAGACACACCTTACACAAGCAAGCCTCAGTCTGGAGTCCTTCTAAACAAATCTGAGGGCATAGAAAGGAAAATTGGAAAATAAAACCAATAACTGGATATTTATTATGTGTTCCATAGGATTTATATCCTGCAGAAAAAATCTTCACTTTCAGATGAAAAAAAAAAAGGAATTGTTTGAGCATTTGTATTGTGTTTGCACGGAAACAGGAGTTCTTTGTGATCCTGAGTGATAGCCAGAGCTCTCAGGGAGATCTGAGACTTCCTTTTCACTGCCTGATCACCTACTATTAATAGCTGGTGCTTGAACAACAGGTATCTGAACTACAGGGTGTTTTTCTACAAAACTTTAGGGCTTTCCCAAGTTCCTTGGCGATTGTAATTAGGCTAATACCACTAAAAAGACATTTCAGCAAATGACTCATTCACTAGCTGTAAGCATATTTCAATGGCTCCAGCCGTGTAAACCCTTAAAGAAAATGTCACTAAATCGAAAGACTAAAGGGATTTAGCTGTGTTGGTGCTCCGTGGCAGGTGCAATGATATCTGCCCATCAGAAAACATCAGATTGCTTAAGTGCTGGAATCTTAACAGAGCTGACTGAATATTGAATAATTTTAAAAACAGATCACTGGAAAAAGTACTTAATGAAGTCTGCAACTTGACCTCGGGACTATTTGTTTTCAAAGAAAATTTATTTTCCTTCTGGTAACAGAAGCACACTTTCAATTCAACCAGATTTTCAGGGAACGTCAGTCAGTGATGGATTACAGAAAAGAGAAAAGTAAGCATGAGCTTAAAGTGGAATTGTGCCCACAGGTCATCTGCAGTGCAGAAAAAAAAACAAACAACCAAAGCCAAAAGGAAAAAAAAAGGATTGAACTTACTGAAACACCTTTTATTTAGCTGCACATCAGAGGTGGATGCCCTCAGTCCAGCAGGAAAACACATAACTTCTCAATTTCAGTTAAATGTCTCTCAAAATAAAATGATTTTCAACAGCAATAAAAGATTTGGAGCCAAACCAATAAAACTGCTTTGCTGATTTCATATATAAAGTGTTTCAGTATTGTAATTGAAAACCTTTCTAAGCTTTTCTGAATAAATCCATTAAGCAATAAGATTCCCAAGAGAAAGTTCTTAGGGCTGAGAAGTGATGGCAACTCTGTGATTTAAACTTGTAGGTGCTCATTTATGAACATCTCCTCCCAAACACTTAATTTTTTACACAGTGGAGACAAGAGGAAAAGCAGGAGGTTGAGCAATGGCTACAACGGTTTTGAGGCCCTGTGTGGTACAATATCTGTACACCTTCTACTCTGTGTCTTATGGACCGGAAGGAGACATCATGTAGAGGGAAAGAGAAAGGAAACTGCGTCTCTGCATAGCCCTGTGCCCATATTTATTCAGTGTGTCAGAAGCAACCACAGAGAGAAATCTGGCATAAATCCTGATGGCTTTGCTGCAAGCTCTCAACTCATGAATCGTCCTCATCTTGGCTCATGGACAGTTCAGTGGTGCATAAGCTTCAGCAAAAATTGTCCAAAATGGATTATAATATGATTGTTCTTGGAGTGAGGCCTTGGGGAGAGAGAGATCAGTGGTAACCCTGCAAGGTCCGTGAGGAAAGCTGTGTGGCTGCTGTGGTCTAAAGCGCACACCTCACTGGCAGTGTTTGTCTAGGGCAGTGGAGAAGGATTCTCACCCCAACCATTTCTGGAAGTCTCTGTGTGAATATTGATTCTGGTTCAAGGATTGTGATGGAACCACAGCTGAAGTCACATTCTTTATCCAGTTTTTTTCCATATAGCCTATATTGAGCCAGTTCTAGCACTGGCTTTGTCCGCGTGGTATAAAGGCACCAACAACGAGACAGAGCCTGTTCCAGAAAATTTCATTCAAAAACAAAGAGAATTTTGAGGTAAGAAAGCACAATTATAATACTAAAGATTAGTTAGTCTGGGTTTACTGTTGTTTTGTTTGAGAAGTAGAATGTGCCCATCTGGAAATAATTTGGAAAAAGGAACTGAGTAAGAAAGCTTTCCAAAACAGAATGGAGCAGCGCTTGGAATCCAAAAATTGCAAAAAGTTGACAAAAATCCAGATTAAGTCCTGGTAGTATTACATGCCTTTTGCACTTTCTAAAATTAGTTTCAAAGCTTACACTCAGTGATGGACAAATAGTCCCAGCAGTTAAATATGTATTGGAACAATCCCTTAGGAAAACCATTTAATAAATCTGCAATTATCAGAACAGAAAAAAAAAAAATCTCTTTCTAAATCAATCTTTGTTTTGAAGAGAAAAAATCTGGAACAGAACAATCATATGGGATAATAAAATGGGCTAGAGGAGAAGAGTTGAGGGTATATAGAGGGTTTGGGTTAGAATACCTCCATGTAGTTGTGCATCAGTATCCATAGGAATTGAGGAAAACTGGCTGCCCATATACATATATGTGCACACATTGACACGTACAGAGCTAATTTCCATTTGCAGGGAGGTCATACAACACCATTCTAGTAATGTAAAAGGCAATAAGGGAAGGGGATTTGGATATAAACTATAACTAGGCCTCTTGTGTCATGTTTGAAATCAGAAAGATATTGCTGGTAAAGATTATCATAAACACATTGTTGCATCGATGGTAAAAAACTCATTGCAAAATTTTGAGGATGCCTTTCCATAGTAAAAAAATATAAATATTTTAAAAGCCACCTTGCATAGCTGAAAACATTTCACAATACTAGGAATACTAGAAGGGGAGGGAGACCCAATCACGTATGTCAAAACACCTTGAAAAAATCTGGCAATGCTGGCAGGAATTATTTCTTACCTTAGAAGCAGGATGTATCCGGGTGTGCCACCTACTGACAAAGTGTATGAAGTGATAACCGATATTACTAGAAAATACAGAAACATTTTTGGACACTCATTTCCTTTTTGACACGGTCCCACCACAGCTGAGGAGCTTTGTGAAGATTCAAAGGTTCCCACACAGCTGCAGTTAAAAAATACCTAGAAGAGAGGAGGTGAAAATGTATGATAACTTAAACAGTGGAGAAGTGGATGTTCAGGAATTGCACATCATGCTTTTCTGGGTAGCTGAAGGTTTAAATCCAAAGTGGAAATGTTTTGCAAAAGGAAAAGGTTTATTTATTGAAGGATAAAATTATAAAGTATCTGCTGTTGATGAATGTATTTATTACATTTTTTTTCCCAAGAGTCTTGGTAGCCAACAGCTAAATAAAACCCACTCCAAAACATTCTCTGCTTGTGATTTCTGCCGGAAAGATAACTCGAGAAAGTTTTAAATGTGGGTGGCAGATTGCTAAAAAACCCCGAGGAGTTTAGGGTTGAAGAGGACAGGCCTTAGTAAATTTTAATCCACTTACTCTGACAGACCTGGTTGCATTTGGAAAAAATATCACATCACATCACACATGGAAATGAAAGACTGCCTTACGGTGTTTTTCCCACTGCCGTTGGACGCCTGGCAGCCGGCGAGACAGGCAGAAATGTAGGTAACTCCATTTTCTCCACAGATGGGGTCCCAGTCGTCCTTGGAACACGAGCAGCCGGAATTGCACTCTGAAAACACGGCTTGCTCGTAATCAGTTTGGTTCTGAGGAAAAAGAGAAATTGCGAAGATGTTTTCTAGCAGACGTGGAAGAAATCATTATCAAATCACGGGCTGTGCTCTCTGACAGGTGCTCCTGTCAGAGCCAGTCCTCCCCTCTGTAGTCCATCAAAGGTTGTCCCTTCGCACCCATGCAGCACTGTAAATTCTTGTTTCTCTGTTATCCAAATGTCTTAGCAATATCACACCATCTACTGTGAGATGGTAGCTACTTTATTAAGGGTGACAGCTAACAATTTCTATTCATGAATTTGCTTATATTTTCT